AGGGGCAGGGGCAGGGGCAGGGGCAGGGGCAGGGGCAGGGGCAGGGGAAGGGGGCGAGTTGAAGGCCAGCTTGGTCTACAGAGGGAATCCAGGACAGCCAGAGCTATACAAAAACCTGTCTCAAAAATCCAAAAACAAATAAGTAAAAGAGTCCAGGCTTCCTATGGCTTGCAGGAAAGGGCTGTTTGCAGCAGCTCAGCGTTCTTGGCCTTATCTGTTCTAGAAATAAAGTTTCTGAGAGGGAAGGTCAGCTTCTTGTAGTAAGGTTTCTAACTGATCCAGTTTCCTCAGATTAAATGCAAACAAATCTACTTCAAGCAAACTAGAATGGTTAGTTGCCTAACTACGAGTGTAGATTCTTAGTATGAAAATTTAGAATTACAATAAAAAGTTATGTATTTTTGTCAAATTACTTTCAACAAGACAATCCAGTCTTGATGCCAGGGAAGTTGTAAGACTCTTAATGGATTGATGAATGTGTTTTATTTCTTTTTATTAGAAGCTCTTTAAAGGAGACAGTTCTAGGAATTGTATTACTCTCCACTACTTCATCATTTGGACTTACTAAATTCCCACTACTTGCATCTTTTGCTTATGTTTACTTAGGATGCTGTGGGGGTCACAGTGTGAGTCCTTGTGGTCGCTCTGATCTCAGCATCTTCTCTCTATTCACATGAAGACTACTAGTTGGTCATCCCTCTGCACATTTCATAATTTCACTTCACTTTCCGAGAAACCGAAGTATGTTTTGCAGGCACCTGAAGTTTTATTTATAACTCATTCTACAGCTTTACTTGGCTCAGTATTATTTAAAGATATTTGTAGTATTGATTTGATTTATTTTAATTACTACTTTGTAATCCATGAAATTAATACATTGCAGATTGTTTTTATTTTCTGTTCTTATTGTTAGGACTTCTAATGTGTTATTTATTTATTTATTTATTTATTTATTTATTTATTTATTTGTGTGTGAATATTTTCTCCAGATATTCTGAATTAAAAAGAAAAATGAATTATCTTCTCTCAAATTTCATACATATCCAATTGTTTGGTTGTAGGTTTCTTTTTTCCCCCTTTTGATACTTAGGTTTTTTTTTTATTTTTACTTTAAAATATTCTATCATATGTTACATCCCAATTTCCCCTCCCCTTCATCCTTCCCAGTCCCTTTTCCCCCCACCTTCCTTCTTCCCCAGATTCATCCTCCATTTCCTTAAAACAAAACAAAACAAAACAAAAAACAAAACAAAACAAAACAAAACAAAACAAAACAAAACATCAACAAAAGAGCAGGTCTTCCAGGGATAGCAAACAAGCATGGCTTAATAAGTTGGTTACAGTGTTCTTAACAAGTGATTATCACTATCAACCCTTGAGTCTTTATGCATCCTGAGGCTGTGGGTAGAGAAGTAAAAACAAGGGCTAGTAGAGGAGGAGGAGTGATCAGGAGTGCAGGGCATGTTCTGTCTGTCACATATGTTATAATGTTATAATGTCTTCTAATGTTCCAGTTGTATAAATTGCTGACTTTGAGATTGGCGAATGGCGGTTCACACCTTTAATCTCAGCACTTGGGAGGCAGAGGCAAATGGATCTCTGAGTTCAAGGCCAGCTAGTAAGATTCATCCTAAAAAAAATATTAACTATAGAGAATAGAATTAAAACATTTTAAATGTGTATTTATCTCTCTCCCTGACAGGCAGATAAAAGTATGTATCTGGTAGATAGGAGTGTATAAGAGTTTCTTAGGCATGAGCTGATCACAGGCGTTCATCTTTTACAGACTTGCTTCTCTAACATGTTTTATTTTTTTAGGGGATGAACTCTTGTATTAACTAGCTTTGCTTAAATGTTTTGTGATGATTCCCACACAGCCTATTAACAGAAATGTTCTCCTTTCTCTTTCTTAGCCATTCGTCTGCGATGTGCCAATCACTGGTTCTATCTCAGGGTCAAGGCTACGCTATTTCCCAATATTTTTATGGAACCTGATGAAGTATTTTTAGGATTTGGCTGCCCTGTGACTACCGTCTGGCCAAATGATGTCTATGACTTTACCTACCGTACTTACTCCTGTGGCATTGTCAATAAAGTAAGCAGACACACTAGTGTCTATGGTCCCTTCCTTGGACACAGGGACAGGGGCTGTATCAATGCATCCCAGTTGCTATAGTGCTCATCTATCGGCTTACACGAGGCTCTGTGTTTAGTCCCTAACAGCACAGAAACTGGGCATGGTGGATCACACCAGTAACCCATGCTGTCAAGGACAGCATAGATTATATGAGTCCCAGTATCAAAACAAATGTCCAGAGTTAATTATTTAAGTGAAATTCTCAGAAGTATTGATTCCAAATGGGTTTAGGCTTATCTGAAAGCTGGTGTTCTCAGCAATAAGCAATACTTTACCTTCTACTTTGCTTCTGGAAAGGAGGTGTAAGCACATGATTTTTTTAAAAATATGAAACAATGATCTGATCTTTCAGTAAGCAAGTATTATATGGCTTTTATACCCAGGAAGTATAACAGGTTGAAGTCATCTCTTTATTTAGAAATTAGTTCTGCTTTCCATGAGTAATCGTTGGAAAATGGCCTTCTCTCTTTGAGAGCTTGAAGTACTTATAAGCTCCTACTCAAATCCTTTCAAGTCTCCTGAGATCTGTGAGATAAACACAGATTTCAAATTTTCTTTACTCCTGTAGGTTCTTCATGATGTCACTCTGCTGGAGACTCAACTTACATATTTCTCAAAAAATGCTTCTCTACGAGCTGAGATGCGTTTGTCCTGTGTTCTGCACAGGTGAGTGCCATATGCCATTCATGTGTCCAAGGCTCTGGCTCCCTTCAACTCTTTAGATAAAAGACCCCAGCTCCAAATGTTGAATCACACAAGCCAGGGTGGGCATGGCCATTGCTGTAGGGGTATGGCGGCTGGAGGGGCTGAAGCCTAACGGGAGTATAGATCTCTTTATCGTTGGCCCTGGGTTTTTAAAATGACAGTGATCTCCTAGAGTGTTAGCGTGCTGGAAAAGAGAAGGAGGATAATGCACGTTTCCAGTACTAGTCAGAGTGAATGAGAACCTCACTAGTTTCACTTAGCTAGTCAATGAAATGCTTTAGAAATAAGTCCACACTCAAGTTTACTCAGGATGGAGAGAAAAAAATCCTGAAAGATACAGAAATATATGAGAAAAATTAAGGCCAGCATGCAGCATAGGTGGTGGGTGCATGGTGCCGAAGCCACAGGGAGAGGGAGCAGATTCAAATCATACCCACGGGCTGAGATTAAGCTTCTCTTTGTATCTTATTAGTGGATCCCTATGGGAACGTCTAAGGTGTAAATCATTAGCAACTTTAAGCAGGTCTTAGCAAAGTTATGATAAATGTGGCAGGGCCTTAGGGAACAAACTATTAGATTTCTCTGTTCAAAACCAGCTAAAGAAAAAAATTAAAGGTATTTAATTATCTGCTGGGGATCAGCCCCAGGATTCACACAGGTTCCAGCAGAGGAGCTGAGGATAGGGCTGAGGGGTAGTAATGAATAAACGAGTCAGAGACTGTGGCTGGGAGAATCTTGCACCTCTGACTGAGTAGCAACCAGGATGTTTGTTTATACACAGTCCACAAAAGAGACAAACTCAGGATTTCAAAAGAAATACACATTTTTTTCTTTTGTGATACAGATGTTTTTTTTTTTTTTTGGTCCCTGGACAAATGTTACAACTACAGAAAGAATAGGTATTATCAATCTCAAATAATTTTAGACTATGTAAGCATTTATGACATTCGACATTCTGTTCTTCAGAAAACTTAAACATTATACAGAAAAATATCTGAGTCAGTCTAGACAAGTTCCTGAGCCTCGAACAATGCATAGTGATTGAAGGAGTTAGCCTAGTTTAAAGTCTGAAAGCTCTCCCAGGCTGTAGGCTGACTTGCTCCATTCGTTTTGCCTTCTCTTTGTTTTGTTTTTGTAGTTAAAAGACCTCACTGTAACTTAATGTGAGACAGTCTTTTTTAAATTTTTTTATCTTTTATTCTTTAATCTTTTTTTTATAGTCCAGTCTTTGTCCCCCTCCCAGTCTGCTCTCTGACTATTCCACATCCCTTATCTCCTCCCCTCCCAGTCCCCAAGAGGATGTACCCACCCACCCCCAGCACCTACCCTCACCCTATTAGACATCCCCACTCCCTGGAGTCTCCAGTCTCTTGAGAGTTAGGTGCATCTTCTCTGATTGAGTCAAGATCCAGCAGTCCTCTACTGTATATGTATTGGGGGCCTCATATCAGCTGGTCTGTTCTGCCTGGATGGTGGCTCAGTGTCTGACCAATCTCGGGGGTCCAGGTTAATTGAGATTGCTGGACTTCTATAGGGTTGCCCTCCTCCTCAGCTTCTTTCAGCTCTTCTGTAATTGGGCTACAGGGGTCACCAACTTTTGTCTATTGGTTGGGTATAAATATCTGCATCTGACTCAGCTGCCTGTTGGGTCTTTTAGAGGACAGTCATGATAGGTGCCTTTTTGTGAGCACTCTATAGCCTCAGTGATAGTGTCAGGCCTTGGGGACTTGCCTAGACATGGATCCCACTTTGGGCCTGTTGCTGGACCTTCTTTTCTTTAGGCTCTTATCCATTTTTGTTCCTGCAGTTCTTTCAGACAGGAACAATTATGGGTTACAGTTTTTGACTGTGGGATGGCAACCCCATCCCTCACTTGATACCCTGTCTTTCTACTCAAGGCAAGCTCTACAGGTTCCCTCTCCCTACTGAAAGGCATTTCATCTAAGGTTTCTCCCTTTATTTCTGAGAGTCTCTCACCTCCCAGGTCTCTGGTATATTCTGGAGGGTCCCCCCACCTCCTATCTCACTAGGTTGCCTATTTCCATTCTTTCTACTGACCCTCAGGGCTTCAGTCCTGTTCCACCCCCCACCCAATACCTGATCATGTTCCCCTCTTCCACTCCCTCTCTCATTTCCCACTCAGGTGCCTCCCTCCCCCCCTCCTGTGATTGCTTTCTTCTCCCTCCCAAGTGGGATTGAGGCATCCTCACTTGGGCCCTTTAACTTATTAACTTTTTTGAGTTTTGTGGATTGTATCCTGGGTATTCTGTACATTTTTGGCTAATATCCACTCATTAGTGAGTATATATCATGCATGTCCTTTTGGGTTTGAGTTACCTCACTCAGGATGATATTTTCTAGTTCCAACGATTTGCCTGCAAAACTCAGGATGTCCTCATTCTTAATAGCTACGTAATATTCCATTGTGTAAATGAACCACATTTTCTGTATCCATTCTTCTGTTGTGGGACATCTGGGTTGTTTCTAGCTTCTGGTGATCACAAACAAGGCGGCTATGAACATACTGGAGCACATGTCCCTGTGGCATGATGGGGCATCTTTTGGGTTTATGCCCAAGAGTGATATAGCTGGATCTTCAGGTAGATCTATTTCTACCTTTCTGGGTCATTTTGATTTGCATTTCTCTGATCACTAAGGACTTTGAACATTTCTTTAAGTGCTTCTCAGCCATTTGAGATTCCTTTGTTGTGAATTTTCTGTTTAGTTCTATACCCCACTTTTTTGATTGGGTTGTTTGGATTTTTTGGTGGTTGGCTTCTTGAGTTCTTTATATATTTTGGATATTAGCTCTCCATCGGATGTGGGGTTAGTGAAGATTTTTTTCCCAATCTGTAGGTTGCCAATTTGTCCTATTTTCTATGTCCTTTGCCTTACAGATGCTTTCCAGTTTCATGAGGTACCATTTATCAATTCTTTTTTATTGGATATTTTATTTATTTACATTTCATATGTCATCCCCTTTCCCCATTTCCCCTCCCTAGTACCCCCCACCCCTTCCCCTTCCTCTTTTTTGCTTTTATATCATTTTAATTACATGAAAGTATTAAGGTCAGTTCTAGGTTGAGGAACTAACAATATAATAGATGGAAATAGTCAAGGAACAAGCAAGACAATAAACACAAATAGTCAAAGGACAAGCAGGACAATAAACACAAATAGTCAAAGAAGAAGTAAGGCAGTAAACAAAATTCTGTGACCACTCCAATGATCACTGTTTCTAAGGTCTTATCAGGATGAACAAAATATCTGAGCCAACTTTCCTGTCCTAGCCCAAAGTCATTTTCATATCTGAAAACCATTTATCAATTTTTGATCTTGGAGCATGAGCCATTGGAGTTCTGTTTAGGAAATTTCCGTGTATGCCAGTGAGTTCAAGGCTCTTTCCTACTTTCTCTTCTATTAGATTCAGTGTATCTGGTTTATATGGAGCTCCTTGATCCACTTGGACTTGAGGTTTGTGGAAGGTGATAAATATGGAACTATTTTAAATTTTCTACATACAGACAGCCAGTTAGACCAGCACCCTTTATTGATGATGCTTTCTTTTTCCCATTGTATATTTTTGGCTTCTTTGTCAAAGATCAAATTAAATGGAGAGATACTTGAAGAAATCTTGAATTCCTGATCTCTCTAATACTTTTAACATGAAGGGGTGTTATATTTTATCAAATGCCTTCTCTGCATCTAAGGAGATGATCCTGTGGTTTTTTTTTCCTTTGAGTTTGTTTATGTATTGGATTACATTAATGGATTTTCATATATTGAACCAACCTTGTGTCCCTGGGAAGAAGCCTACTTGATCCTGGTGAATGATGATAGTGATGTGTCCTTGGATTTGGTTTACAAGAATTTATTGAGTAGTTTTGCATTGACATTCATTAGCAAGATTGGTCTGAAGTTCTCTTTTTTTGGTTGGGTCCTTATGTAGTTTAGGTATCAGAATAATTGTGGCTTCATAGAATGAATTAGGTAGTGTTTCTTCTGTTTCTGTTTTATGGAATAGTTTGAGTAATATTGATATCAGGTCTTTGAAGGTCTGATAGAATTCTGCACTAAATCCATCTGGCCCTGGGCTTTTGTTGCTTGGGAGGGTTTTTAATGACTTCTATTTGCTTATGTGATATGGGCCTGTTTAGATACTTTATCTGCCCTTGATTTAACTTTGGCATGTGGTATCTGTCTAGAAAACCATCCATTTCATCTAGATTTTCCAGTTTTGTTGAGTATAGGCTTTCTGTTGTTTTTTTGCTGTTATTGAAGACCAGCCTTAGGCCATGGTGATTGTTAGGATGCATGGGATTATTTCCATCTTCTTGTATCGGTGGAGGGTTGTTTTATATGGTCGATTTGGGGGAAAGTACCATGAGGTGCTAAAAAGAAGGTGTATTCTTTTGTTTCAGGGTGAAATGTTCTGTAGATATCTGTTAAATCCATTTGGTTCATAACCTCTTTTAGTTTCACTGCGTCTCTATTTAGTTTCTGTTTCAATGACCTGTCCATTGGTGAGAGTGGGGTGTTGAAGTCTCCCACTATTATTGTGTGGGGTTCAACGTGTGTTTTGAGCTTTAGTAAAGTTTCTTTTATGAATGTGGGTGTCTTTGCATTTGGGACACAGATGTTCAGAATTGAGACTTTCTCTTGGTGGATTTTCCTTTTGATAAATGTGAAGTGTCCTTCCTCATCACCCTTGAAGACTTTTGGTTGAAAGTCAATTTTATTCCATATAAGAATGGCTACTGCAGCTTGTTTCTTGGGACCATGTGCTTGGAAGACCTTTATCTATCCTTTCACTCTGATATGTTTGTCTTTGTGATTGAGGTATGTTTCTTGTATGCAGCAAAATGCTGGATCTTGTTTGCATACCTAGTCTGTTAGCTTATGTCTTTCTATAGGTGTGTTGAGTCCATTAATATTGAGAGATATTAAAGACAGATGACTGTTGGTTCCTGATGTGTTTGTTTTTGTAGGTGGCTTTATGTGCTTGTGGTTCTCTCCTTTTGGCTTTGTTGTGAGATGCTTAATATCTTGTCTTTTCTTTGGTGTAGGTACCTTCTTTATGTTGAAGTTTTCCTTCTAGGATCCTTTGTACAGCTGGATTGGTAGATAAATACTGTTTGAATTTGGTTTTGTCCTAGAATATTTTGTTTTCTTCATCTATGTTGATTTAGAGTTTTACTGGGTATAGTAGTCTGGGCTGGCATTTGTGTTCTCTTAGAGTCTTAATGACCTCTGACCAGGCTCTTTTGGCTTTCGTAGTCACTGTTGAGAAGTCTGGTGTAATTCTGATAGGTCTACCTTTTTTGTATGTTACTTGACCCTTTTCCCTTGCAGCTTTTAATATTCTTCCTTTGTTCTGTGCATTTCGTGTTTTGATTATTATGTGACAAGAGGATTTTCTTTTCTGGTCCCATTTATTTGGTGTTGTATAGGCTTCTTGTACCTTTATGGCCATCTCTTTCATTAGGTTGGAGAAGTTTTCTTCTATGATTTTGTTGAAGACATTTTCAGATTGTTTGAGTTGGGAATCTTCGTTCTCCTCTATTCTAATTATTCTTAGATTTGGTCTTTTCATTGTGTTCTGAATTTCTTGGATGCTTTGGGCTAGGAACTATTATCATTTTGAACTTTCTTTGACAGTTGTATCAATCTCTTCTATGGTATCTTCTACTCCTGAGATTCTGTCTCTTGTATTCTGTTGGTAATACTTACATCTGTAATTCCTGACCTCTTTCCTAGGTTTTCCAATTTCAGGTTTGCCTCCATTTGTGTTTTCCTTATTGTTTCTACTTCCGCTTTTAGGTCTTGTACCACTTTATTCAATTCCTTCACCTGTTTGATTGTGTTTTCCTATATTTTTTAAAGGGATTTATTTGTTTCCTCTTTAAGGGCTTCTACCTGTATACCTGTGTTTTCCTGTATTTCTTTCAGTGAGCTATTTCTATTGTCCTTAAACGACTCTATTATCTTCATGAGATAGGATTTTAGTTCAGCTTTCTGATTTTCAGGTGTGTTGGTGTATTCACGGCTTGCTGTGGTGGGAGAACTGGGTTCTGATGATGCCCGTATATATCGGCTTCTATTGCTTATGGCCTTGCACTTACTTCTCACCATCTGGTTACCTTTGGTGTTTGCTGGTCTGGGTGACTCTGTCTGGAGTCTACCTCTTTTGTCCCTGAGTTGCTTTAGGTCTCCTGGTAGGTCTGCAGCCCTGACTATAGCAGACCACCTGTGAGGCCTTCCAACTGGGTGTTCTTCAGAGGGGCAAAGAAGCTATTGATTTGTTGCCCTGGCTGCAGTAGATCTCCTGGGAAGCCTTCAGACTTTTGGGCTTTCAGAGGAGCAGTCAAGCTGTTGTCCTGAGTGAAGATGCTCTCTGGGGTGGGGTGGGGTGGGTTGGAGTAGGGGTTCTTACCAACTGCTCTGAGTGCAGCAGATCTTCTGAGATGGCTCAGGATATGGTGTCTTCAGGGGAGCAGACTAGCAGTCTGCCCCAGCAGAAAGGACCAGGCAGAAAGCAAGTGATATTCAGTGGGCAGGGGTTTTGGGGAATGATTTGTCCCAAGTCCACAAGGCTCCCAGCAGCAGCTCTGGGACTTTGAGGGGAGGGTTCTTACCAACTTCTCTGAGTGCAGGGGATCTTCCAGGAAGGCACAGGATATGATATCTTCATGGGAGCCTGTGTTCTCTTTTGAACTTAAAAGTTATTGTGCTCTTGTTATATGTTGGAGCATTTTTGGATATATTCTTTCTTTTATATTAATTCTTTTTTTATTGGATATTTTATTTACATTTCAGATGTTATTCCCTTACCCCATTTCCCGCCCTCCCCTCCTGCCCAGGAACCCGCTATCCCATACCCCCTCCTCCTGCTTCTATGAGAATGTGCCCCCACCTACCCTTCGACTCCCACCTCCCCACCCTCACATATCCCCACACACGGCATCAAGCCTTCATGGGACCAGGGACCTCCTCTCCTACCTATACCTGATAGGACCATCCTACTTGCATATACAGCTGGAGCCATGGGTCCCTCCCTAAGTGCTCCCAGGCCGGTGGTTTAGACCCTGGGGGCTCTGGTTGGTTGGTATTGTTGCTCTCTTCATGGGGTAGAAAACCCTTCCAAATCCTTCAGTCTTCACTCTAACTACTCCATTGGGAACCCCATGATCGGTTCAATGGTTAGCTGTGAGCATCCACCTCTGAATATGTCAGACTCTTGCAGACCTCTAAGGAGACAGCTCTACCAGGCTCCTGTCAGCATGCACTTCCTGATAATCCTCATCAGCATCTACCTTTGGTGACTGCACATGGGATGGGTACCCAGGTGGAAGGTCTCCAGGATGGCCCCTCCTTCAGTTTCTGTCCTACACTTTGTCTTCATATTTGCTCCCTTGAGTATTTTGTTACTCCTTCTAAGAAGGACTGAAGCACCCCCATTTGGTCTTCATTCTTCATGAGCTTTATGTGGTTTGTGAGTTGAATCTTGGGTATTTCAAGCTTCTGGACTAAAATCCAATAATCAGTGAGTGAATACCATGTGTGTTCTTTTGTGATTCGATTACCTCATTCAAGATGTTATTTTCTAGTTCCATCCATTTACCTAAGAATTTCTTAAATTCATTGTTTTTAATAGCTGAGTAATATTCCATTGTATAAATATACCACATTTTTTGTATCCATTCCTCAGTTGAAGGACATCTGAGTTCTTTCCAGCTCCTGGCTATTATAAATAAAGCTGCTATGAACATAGTGGAGCATGTGTCGTTGTTGTATGTTAGAGCATCTTCTGGGTATATGCCAAGGAATGGTATATCTGGGTCCTTAGGTAATGATATGTCCAATTTTTGAGGAACCGCCAGACTGATTTCCAGAGTGGTTGTATTATCTTGCAATCCCACCAACAACAGAGGAGTGTTCCCCTTTATCCACATCCTCAGTGAAGGGGAATTCCAGGGTGTGGAGGTGGGAGTGGGTGGGTAGGCTGGGAAGCACCCTCATAGAAGCAAGGGGAGGGAAAATTGGGTAGGGAGTTTCCGGAGGGGAAACCAGGAAAGGTGATAACATTTGAAATGTAAATAAATAAAAATATCCAATAAGAAGAATCAAATATGATAGTTAATATTTCTATTTGAAAAAATTATTGTGCTCTTCCAATTTGTGTTGGGTGTGGGGTCATCCACTAGAGTATGAATGATATACTAGGAGCCAAATTAAAAAAAAAAAAACCTGACTCTTCCTCCCCAAGATGCCATCAAGTATTAATAACCCTTCAGTTAGGGCTGAGGGCTCACAAACTCTTCCCACTCCATGATATGTGACTTGGATTGATCTTACGGAGATCTCATGAAGGGAACCACAGGTACTATGAGCTCATGGATGTAGAGGTCCTTCCATTTTCATCCTGCCATTTTCAGAGACACTCTATCTGTGCCTCCCTGACCTTCAGCTCTTACCATTTTTCCATATCTTCTTCCTTTATAGTGTGTGTGTGTTGTACACATGTGCATATGATGATAATATAAATGACTCATTTGTGGGTGATTACTGCATGTTTTCTGTACATGATCAGTAGTGATTTGGCTGCCCACTGCAGCTAGGATTTTAAAGTCTGGTATCATAGGCTTATGTTGTAAGTGCTTCACTTGAATAAATAGTTTGTTACTTATGGCAACTTCATGAAGTAAAGGCTATGACATCAATTCTCAGGTGAGGAAACAGGCACAGTGGAGTTGAATTTCTTGCCCAAGATTATTGATTGGTCAATGATGGAATCAGAGCATAAACCCATGCTCAACAATCATTGTTTTGTAATGTTTTGAAAAAATAGGAAATCAGTGTGTCTATTAGTCACTGAAATTTGGCCTTGAGTGGAGCTTTCTAAACTATAAGGTCTGAATAGAACTTCAGCACCCTGTGATATTTCTTTTTTCTTCCTTGGTTTTAGTCGGTCTCCTCTTTTCTGTGAAGCAGAAAGTAGAGGAGATTTCACTGGTGATCCTCCTGAATGGGAAGTAGATATGAGGGTAAGAAGAACTGAGCAAGCTATTCCGACGGTGCCACCAAAGTAAGGAGATGCCAAACTAATATTTTACATCTTTGTCAGGCATGACTTAAAATATGCCAAGGAAATAGTCAAGGACATGTCCTGTTTGACGAAAGACACATTGTTCTTAAACAGCTTCTAGGTCAGGCCTTCCTGTGTTTGTTTAAATTGCTAATGATGATAGTGGTCTTGTTAGTCTGTTACTAGACAGTAGAGATGTTGTAGGAACTAGTGGTGTCCCTCTTGGGTAATGTGATAGTTGGTCTTACTTGAAGACAAGTCCAGGAGACATAACTCTGGGTGTGTCTGTAAGGGTCTTTCCAGAGAAGATTAACTGAGTTGGGGTAGGGCTTGCCCTCAAAGTGGGTGGTACCTATGTTGAGACCTACAATTGGTGCTCCAAAGAAACAGTGCTACCTGGATAGCCTTCTTTCTGAACACATATTTATAGTTGTCATCACTGTCCTCTGATAACATCATATTTTATCTCTTCAGCTGTACAACATAAACTGAAGACTCTCAGGTCTCCGAGGAACCTCAGGCCTCTAGAATGAGCAGGCCTGAGCCTGCTGAAGTATCCAGCTTCATGGATCAAAACTCTTTGGTTCTCCATTTCTCCAGAATGCAGAGTCTGGTGATTTCTTATTCCCTTTTTAAAAAGAGACTAATTTGCAACTTTAAGTAAAGTGGCATGTGACATTTATATATTCTCACTTTAGAAAGGGAGCTGTCTCTGCTTTTAACTGTATAGAATTTGATTAAGAAATAAAATTTTCTCATTAATGTTGTCTAATTATTGAAGGACTAATGTGCATATTTTTAAGCCTAATGGACATAAATAGTTATTTTTCTTGAAAAATTGTTAACTATAATATTTTATTCTGAAAGAATTCCATGTATGTTCTGTTGTAGTAAATATTGGAAATCGGCCTCTGGCTCAAACTGACTATCTAAGCTGTAGAGGCTCTGCCTAGCCCAGCAGCCATGTTTCTCAGCCTGAGGTCAACTGGGCTCTGCAGCTACAAACACCACCAACACCTTGATCTGATTTAGCCCTCCCATTCTTCCCCTTAAGTCCTCCAAGATCCGTCCTTCAACTTCCCCACATCTTTCCAACTTTGTCCTTTTTTCTTTAAAAAAAAAATAAAATCTAGTAAAAGTAATTGCTGCTTCTTTCTCTCTTGGAAGGAGGAGTGGAAGGTGGCTGGCTCTCAGCTGAGCTCACAGCCACGCCCCTTCACCAGGTGTACCTGGTCCTGCCCACCTGCATCTGCTTTGGGACATGCTAATATCCTCAGGATGTGAAACATTCAAAGGAAGATTTCATCTACACAGCTTTTAGAAGCTCATCACCTAGGCTGGGGTGGGACTGTTCTGGGATGTCATTGTTTTGGGGCTCACCCATATATTTCTAAGGTGGCCCAGTAAACTCATGAGTTCATCAAACTGGACTCTGGTTCTCTGAAAGAGCAATTGCTCTTTTATTATTATTATTAATTATTATTATACTTATTTACATTTCAAATTGTGTCCTCCTTCCCTGTCTCTACAAACCCTCTTCCTCCTCCCCCTCCCCATTTCCTCTAAGAGGGTGCTTCCCCATCTACTCACTCCTACCTTACTCCTCTAGGATTTCAGTGGGGGGGCACAAACCTTCCCATGACCAAGCCCCTTCCCATCCATTGGTGCCAGATAAGACAGTCCTCTGCTACATATGTAGCAGGAGCTATGGACCCACACATGTATCCTCTTTGGTTGGTGGTTTAGTCCCTGGGTGCTCTATGGGGTCCAGTTAGTTGATATTGTTGTTCTTCCGGTGGGGTTGCAATCCCCTTCAGCTCCTTCATTCCTTCTCCTAACTCTTCCATTGGGGTCCCCAGGCTCAGTCCAACGGTTGGCAGTGAGTATCTGCATCTGTCTTAGTCAAGTGCTGGGAGAACCTCTCAGAGGACAGCCATATCAGGCTCCTGTCTGCAAGTACTTCTTGGCATCAGCAATAGTGTCAGGGTTTGGTATCTGTGGATGGCTTTTCCTTCAGTCTCTGCTGCATTTTTTTTGTTCCCAAGTTTCCTTTAGACAGAAACAATTCTGGGTTAAAAATTTTGAGATGAGTGGGTGGCCCCATCCCTCCACTGGGGGTCATGTCTATCTACTGGAGGTAGTCTCTTCAGGTTCTAGCTCCCTGGTGTTGGGTATTTCAGCTAATGTCATCCCCAGTGGGTCCTAGGAGCCTCTCCCATTCCTGGCATCTGAGGCTTTCAAGTGGTTTCCCCCATTCCCCACCTGCCTTAGTTAAGGTTTTACAGCTGTGAACAGACACCATGACCAAAGTAACTTGTATAAGGACAATATTGAATTGGGGCTGACTTATAGATTCAGATATTCAGTCCATTATCATCAAGGCAGGAGCATGGCAGCATCCAGGCAGGCACGGTACAGGCAGAGCTGAGCGTGCTACATCTTCAGCTGAAGGCTGCTAGCACAATACTTGCATCCAGGCAGCTAGGATGAGGGTCCTAAAGCCCAGACCCACAGTGACACACCTACTCCAACAGGGCCACACCTTCTAATAGTGCCACTCCCTGGGCCAAGCATATACAAACCATACCATTCCACTCCCTGGCCCCCGAAGGCTTGTTTAAACATATGAGTCTAGGGGGGAGGGGGCGTCATACCTAAACATAGCATAATGCAAAATACATTTAGCCCAACTTCAAAAGTCTCCATAGTGTATAGAAATCTCAACAAGGTTAAAAGTCCAACGTTCAAAGTCTCTTCTGAGATTTATCCAATCACTTAACTGTAATCCCCAAATCAAGACAGGAAACAGATGGGCAAACTCCAAACTCTGAATCTCCATGTCTGATGTCAAAGCAGTCTTCAGATCTCCAACTCCTTTTTCATCTTTGTTGACTGCAGCAAACTTCTTTCTCCTGGGCTGGTTCCACTCCCTGTTAGCAGCTATCCTCAGCAGATACCCCATGGCTCTGGAATATCAAACTTCTTGGGGTCTCCAAGGCAACTTCAATGCTCTAACTTCTTATTTTAATGTCTGGGATCCACACATAATCTTCTGGGCTTCTCTGAAGATCTGGTGTCACTTCTGCAGCTCTGCCCTTTGTAGCACTCTAAGCTCAGGTTGATCCACTTGACTGCTGCTGCTGTTCTTGGTGATCATCTTATGGTACTGGCATCTCCAATACTTTGTGGTCTTCCACTGCAACGAGGCTTCACCAACAGCCTCTCATAGGTGCTCTTCATGGTGACAAGCCTCAGCTCCTTTGCATGCCCCTTTCAGTCCTGGACCATCAACTGCAAATGAAGCTGTACCTTCACCAATGGCCACTGTGGCCTCCCACAGTGCCAAGCCTCATCTGTTCTTCATGACCCCATTCATGCCTTCAAAACCAGTATCACCTGAATGACTCTTGCACGTTACCAAGTACAGCTGCAGCATGAGGTACAACATTGGCTATCTCTGGAGCGTAACTTCTTTGTGCTCTCAGAAAAAACTTCCCGGAAGATTTCACCTCAATGATGCTGATCTCTTCTTAATCACCGTTAATTTCTTAGCTCCAGGTGACCAACATCAATTGTCCCAGGAGTCCCTTCTATTCTTGACTCTAAAGCCGGAGCCATGTGGCCCAAACTGCTGAGTTCTGCCGCTTGCTAGAGCTGGAACATGGCTAGTATCCGCTTATCAGGGAGTCTATACCATGCATGTCTTTTTGAGTCTGGGTAATCTCACTCAGGATGGTATTTTCTAGTCCTATCCATTTGCCTACAATAGTTAAGTAGTAGTATATTGTGCAATGTACCACATTTTCTGTATCCATTTTTTTCCACTGAGGGACATCTGGGTTGTTTCTGGCTTTTGACTATTATCAATAAGGTTGCTATGAACATAGTGGAACATGTGTACTTGTTATATGTTGGAGCATCTTTTGAGTATATGCCCAGTAGTAACATAGCTAGGTCTTCAGGTAGAACTATTTTTAATTTTCTGAGGAACCAGCAGATTGATTTCCAACGTGGTTATACCAGCTTGCAATCTCATGGGCAATGGAGGAGTGTTCCTCTTTCTCCGCATCCTTGCCAGAATTGACTGTCACCTGAGTTTTTGATCTTACCCATTCTGACTGGTGTGAGGTGGAATCTTACCGTCATTTTTGTTTACATTTCCCTGATAATTAAGGATGTTGAACATTTCTTTAGGTACTTTTAGGCCATTTGAGATTCCTCAGTTGAGAATTCTTGGTTTAGCTCTGTACCTCATTTTTATTTGGGTTATTTGGTTTTCTGAAGTTCTTTGTATAGTTTAGATATTAGAACTCTATTGATGTAGGGCTTTTAATAGCTTTTAAAAATCTTTTCCCAATCTGTAAGTTGCTGTTTTGTCCAGTTGACAGTGTTTATTGCCTTACAGAACCTTTCAGTTTCAAGAGGTCCCATTTGTCGGTTGCTGATCTTAGAGCTTGAGCCATTGGTTTTCTGTTCAGGAAAATTTCCCCTGTGCTGATATGTTTGAGCCTTTTCCCATTTTCTCTTCTCTTAGGTTCAATGTATGTTACTTTATGTGGAGGTTCTTGGTCCACATGGACTTGAGCTTTGTACAAGGAGATAAGGATGGATCTATTTGCATTCTTCAAATCCTGCGTTTTTAAAAACTCTGATTTTAATTATGCATATACATGTGTGTCTCAGTGTGTGCATCTACATCATGTGTACAGGTGTTTTTGGGGCCCATAGTATTTGAACACAATAGGTAAATCCAATCAGTAAATGCTTAAAGCTTCCTTTTGTATTTGTTTTTTTTTCCATTGAGACAAGGTTTCACTATGTAATTCTGTCTGTCTTGGAATTCACTATGTAGACCAGGCTGGCTCTGAACTCTGAGGTCCTGCCACCTCTCCCTCCTGAGTTCTGGAATTAAAGGCATGAACCATCATAATTGGCAAGTGCTCAGGGTTTTGTTTCTTTGTTTGTTTTGTTGTTCTTTTGTTTTGGTTTTAGAAAATAAATTTGAATTCTTCATGGTATTTTGATAAACTTGACTATTTGAAAGCGAATATTATCTTTGTTTAAAGTAGATGGGCTTACTATCTTGCTGCTTATAATGGGATTAATTCAGACTTAGTATGCTGCACCTCAGGGTATATTTTTGGTGTACTTTTTTTTGCTGTTGAACCATAAGCGGTATTTTTAAGTGTAGGCAGTTATTTATGCTGATGTGAAGTAACCCTATATGGATGTTTTTGTTTTCATTTTGATCTATTCTGTCCTCCACAGACAGCAAGCCTAAGTCTCCACAGATTAAAGGATATGCCAAAGGATCTGTGTGGGGAAACTAAGGGACCCCAAGCATGTGAGCTTAAGAGTAGTGCAAACAAAGCATGTCTCATTTTATTATTAAATCAAGCAAAACATGTGGTGATATTTTCAGTTTGCTTAAGCAAACTGGATGTACAGTGAGGGAATACACTGAATATTATGTCTCATCTTCAGTCATGTGAAAAGAGTCATAACTATTCCACCCAGGCCTTTGCCTTTCACACAGAGATAATGTGCCACATGCCTAGACATTTCCTTCATGTTCTTGCATTTATGTGCATCCACTCATCATAATTTATGCAATGCTTTCTAGCAGGCTACCCAGTGGGAAGATCATTTCGCACTCTGTACTGTCCACAGTTCACTGCTTCCTTATATAGGTCCCCACATATTAACCTTACTTCAGTCAAGCCTTAACTAAGACAATTCATGAGTCCCATGCTGGAGAGTCCAGAAAACTGTTTCTCAATCATAGCAGCAACACCAGACCCTATCGTTTATTTCCTATTGAAAAAATGTAAGAATTCCCCACTTCTATAACACACTACCCTTCCTTAGTGATTACCAACTTTAGGAGACACATACTTATTGAAGTCTCCATATTCTGGGATTAAAGGTTAGCCTCCATGTTGCTAATCTTAATATCCTTATACTTCCCCTTGTGTTGAGCTCATCCAGCCAAGTTGCACTAATTGGCACCTCTGTGCTAATAGATAGATAGATAGATAGATAGATAGATAGATAGATAGATAGATAGGCTTGAGATATGCTTCCAGCATAGGCTCTACTTCCTGGTCCCTGCCGTATAATACATTTTGTACAAATTCCTGTACAAACCCATTTTAAAATAACAAGGTTGAATAATAAGGTTCATCAGGTATGTGGTCCAAGCCAATGCACAAAGCTTGCCACTGAGAGGATCTTTATCCTCTAATGTGTAGCTGTAGTGCTTTCTGACTGCTTTCTCTTTGTCACAGCCTTGAGAAGATTACACTTAAGGACGGACATTTAATAAAAAAACAAACACATTTTACCACTTTCAGCAAGGAGACAGGAATGAAGAATACAAGGATGGCCTCAGACAGTGTGGGATCCTGTCCAGAGGCACTCAGCAGGCAGCAGTGTGTGTACACATCTGAACATGCAGCAACATGAAGAATATAGTGTTCAGTTTCAGTCTGAATCCCCAGGTTTCCTAGGACCATCTATCAACTTATTTGCTTAAATAAATCCAGGCCCACATGCAATCCCAGCACCTGGGAGGTGGAGGCAGGAGAGTCAGGAGCTCAGGTTAGCCTCAGCTATAATATAGCCCAAGGCCGGCTTGGAATACAATAGTTCTTGTTTCCAAACACCTGAATAGTGCTTAAATAAGGTTTAAAAATCTTACCTCTGCCTTGCCATCTCTATTCAGTTTCTCTTTTAGTTATGATATATATTTCCTCACTAATAGCAAAACTCTGTATTAGAACTGGAATGTGAAGAATGGGTTTTGTTTATTCCTTGGCTTTATAAAATCCTTGGATCATTTCTAAAACTCTACAACCAGCTGAGCTTAAGTTTGAGGAAAATCTGATTTATATACATATATACACATGCACACATATACAGAGACAACTGTACGTATATATATACATACAGTTATTTATATATGTATATACATTATATATAAGTACATATATGTATATATATATATACATACATACATTACAGATAATTTTAAACAGATTATTTACACTTATACCTTTGAGTATCACAATTACCAGTGGTTCTGTTTTCTTTGTACAGACATTTGCCTTAGTAAAAATTTTTCTTTACTCTTGAGAGTATTATGTATGAATACAATGAAATATATGTATCCCATTTCTTCTCTCCAACTTCCCCATGCCATTCTCAACATATCCCCTCCCAACTTCATGTTTTTCAAATTAAAAATTAAATTAAAATTAATTTATTTTATAAGTATAGGTGTTTTGCCCGCATACATGTCTGAGCACCACATGTATGTCTAGTGACTGAGTAGATCAGAAGAAGGCCTCAGATCCCCTGTAACTGAAGTTATATACGGTTGTGAGCTGTCATGAGGGTATTGGGAGTTGAACCCAGGTCATCTTGAAGAGTAGTCAGTGCTCTTCACTACAGAGCCATCTCTCCAGTCCCCACTGCTAGTTTTGATTACTCAGTTTAATTAGTGCTGCCACATAAGCATGGGGAACTTATCTGTGGCTCCACCCTCAAAAACAATGGTTATCTTCCATCAGCTATCACCTGCCAATAGTTCCTTAGTAAGAGATGGGGCATGGACAGCATCTCTCCTATCAATGCGCGAATCCTAGCTTAGCCTTAGCTTATTTAATTTTCTAAGTTTACCTGAGTAGACTGGAGAGGATGGCCAGTAATTCTAGAGTTCAAGCTATCACTTAGTAGAAGTCTTTTGGAATTATCTTAAAGGTTTATATCGGCATAGTTTAAAATTAAATGTAGCCCAAACATATGTCAGATGACAACAGAAATGTTAGTAACATTGGGCAAAACGTTTAGAAAAAGAAGGCGAGACAAAAGTAGCATATGACTTATCTCATCTTCCTCTGGTAGTTGATGACTGGGATATTCAAGTTTAGTTTTTAAAAAATTACTTACTGTTATGTGTGTGAGTGCTTTGCCCATATTTATGTTAGTGCACCATATGCTTATAGTGCCACAGAGGTCAGAAAGAGGGTCAGATCCTCTGGGCCTGGAGTTATAGTTGTTAACTGCCATGTGGGTGCTGGAAATCAAACCTGGCTCATCTGGCTCATCTGGAAAAGAAGCCAGTGCTCTAAACAGCTGAGCCATTTCTCCGGCCCCCATCCAAGCTCTCAGGATGGAGAGCATGGTGTGAAACACAGACTTTGTGATCTTGCTACTCATCTGCTCATGCAATGCTAGGAATGGACATTCTCTCAGTAACACTCACAGAAGCCTTGCATTTGTGCATCTGTCCAGAGTGTCTGGAGGACTTGCTCCAGATCTCTCCACAGATGCCCACAACTTTATATATGTAATTCCCCTTTATATCATATAATTTTGCTTTTGGTGTATCAACTATATGTACTTCCAAATACTTTCAATCATCTCTAAATTGCCTCTGGTACTTGGTAGAGTACAAATGCTGCAGAGAGCATCACACTATGTTGAGATAATGGCAGGAGTCTGAGGATGTTAGTGCAGATACATGGCTTTTCAAATATTTGCCTGCAGAACTGATTGTTTCTGAAGATGAGAAACCAAAACATATATGGAATTGACCCTACACCCTGAAACAGATCGAAACCTTGAAAACATTACTCACATGTAACTAAGCAATAATACACATTCAATTCATACTCCTTATGTATTTTTAGCTGTTGATTTTCAACAGTTGTGTTGTAGATGCATCAGTGGGCACTGCAAGATCATTTCTTTTCTGCATTTTTATTGGCTATTGTTTTCTGTAGTGGTCTCTGTCAGATGCAAAGAGAATTACAGGCAAATAAGGAACACTTAAGACAGGAGACCCCCCCCAGTTGATTATCCAACTCCAAATGGTCAGCTCTGAAATCATATACATACAATTAACATGATATAGACTGAGTGGGTTGTATCTACATATTTAGGAATATGTGGATTTATATTTTATTTATAGATGTGCACATTCACATGTGTATTGATGTTTAACAACATTTAGAGGAGAAGGGCAGATGTGAATTTGAGAGAGAACCTAGATGGGACACATTGAGGGGTTTTCAAAAGCATGAAAGAAAAAGAGGAAAATGAGATAATTATATTTTAGTTTCAAAAATAAAAAAAATAAAGACTACACTGTCATTCTCATGTCATGACTGACAGATTTAGAATATGAAGCAAACATAGTTGTCTGGCACTTATATTGCTTAGTATTGGGCTATGCATAAAGTTGTGTGTTATGCATCCATATAAAGTATCTTCTTCTGGTAAAATGATAACAAGGTTTGAAATGACTGATGTAACTTAAAACACCAGCTAGAAGGAAACAGTTGAGCTGGATCTGTAGGGTTTTGTCATACTAAGAAAGCATGTTTTCCTTTGGGTTCCCCCTTTCTAGGGATTTATATTCTTAATATTAATATACTTTTTAATCATGCTTTTTTGTTTATTTGTTTTATGAATTGGCCACTGAATTATGTCAATTAGTAAATAATTGGTTTTTGATTTCACATATATGTGATTTAGAATATTCACATATCATTTCAAACCTTATAATGCTAAAAAATTATGCAATAAAAACTATTTCCAACAACATAGTAGTTACTGTCAATATTGTAATTGAGGGCATTTAGGTCATTCTAACAGTCCATTGTAAATAGTTATCAATTGAAACATTTAAAATATTTTTAACTAATTATTTGAAAAATTCATACACTCTACAGTGTGTTTTTTTTATAATACTTAGTCCTGGCTCTTACCCCTATTTTTTCTCAGCTCTAGCCCTCTTTCCATCCCCACCCCTAACTTTCTGTCTTCTTTTTGTGATACTTTATTGAATCTAATTTGAGCTGCATGGCGGTGGGACCATCCACTAGAGCATGATCCACCTATCAGGTATGCCTCCTTGAGATTTGTGGTGTAAATAATCTGGAGAACCTGAGTTTTAAGTAGTTAGCATATCAATGAGAGCCCCCTCACCTCCACAGGCTGCCTAAACAAGAAAAATGAAGGCAGCTGAGCATGGGCTGCCACACAAAATCACTTAAATTAGCCATGACTTTCCCCTTTGTTTCTGAGTGGTGCTGAGCTGAAAGTTTGCCCAAATGGGGGTCTCTACGGCTTTGGAGATACTGGTTCACCTTGCTGTATTGGTTTGGACTTGTGCTTGGGACATTGATGGTAAATGAGCATTTGGAGATACTTCCTAGAAAGAGTAGTGTGTAACTAACTATTGGTTGCCTTTCATGTAGGCTCTTTTAGAGGATGCTTCCTTGAAAACGTAGGGTTCAGTGATTGCTTTCCATGCAGGTCCTTTCCTCCCTACAGAGCTGTGACGTTGCTATAAATTTTCTAGAAGACAAATACTTTCAGGCAAAGCAGACTTGTGAATCTACATGTTTCCTCTTTCTGCCTAATGTCTAAGTTCTCAGACATCCTCCTTTCCTGTTCTTTGGTCTTTTCTATATAATGTATCTCATTTACAGAAATATTTCATGGCTCTGCATCTCAGTCTGGCTTTTCAAACCTACTGCCAATTATCTGTACTTGATAGTATTGATATTAGTGGTACTGTGTCTCTGAAACTGCCCTTCCCACATTCAGAATCTCCATATTTCCTCTTGATGATGACATTGCTTCCTGTTCTTTTAAAAGTATTGCCCTAGCTGGTTGTGGTGACACAAGTCTATATAATTCTAGTACTTGGGAAGGTGAAGCTGGTGAATCAGGATTTCAAAGTCACCTTTGGCTACATAGCAATTTTAAGGGTAGCCTGGGCTACGGAAACACACACACAAACATACTGCTTGGCCAGTCACCCATATCAGATAGTGATGGTCCTAGGAAGCCAAGAAGACCAAGGTAAAGCAAGTCTGTCATGTTTAAAGGTTCATTTTGATGTCCACCCCCATTTCACCTAGAATTAAGATACTTCCTAGCTTTAAGATCTGACTAAATGCTAGCTTTTCCAAGGCAGAATTCTTGTGTTGTTATTATTTACAAGTTGGCTTGTCTATTACCTTTTGTTAGAAGTGGAGTTTCTTTTAGAACTGAAATACAGGCTTCTTATTTGTCTTTTTGTCTTGGAGACCTTGTAGGAGTGAGGACCATATGAAGGTTATGGTATTCTTTTACTTTACAATGCAGTCTTTAGGCTAGTGCAGCAGTTAATGGCTGAAATAGACAGGACATATAGAGGAAGTAGTAACTAGCAGATTCCAGATTTCTGGGACAGATTGAGTAAGGTATATGTGCCCTGGTCCTAATTACTGTCTGGGGGGCAGGAAGAATTGCTTAAGTTGATGTCTTCAACAGCTATGTGTGGTTCTCAGTAATTTTTCAGATGTTGGAGGGACTACCATAAAGTGTCCAACTGATTGAAATGTAGTGATGGGAGGCAGGAGTAAAGCTTAAAAGCAGGGACTTTCAGTATTCCTAGGTCCACTTACTTTTTCAAATCTAGTTTTAATCTCAGGTGGTGATATCTATATTATCTATCTATCTATCTATCTATCTATCTATCTATCTATCT